ACAAAAACGTCCAATGCTTCTGACATTTTATTACACTGTAAATCTTGTAAAAATTCCTGTGTTGGTCTGTGTATGTGGGCTTGCGTGTGTTTGTTCGCGTGTGTGTTTGTGTGAATTTGTGTGTGTATGTCTGTGTGTGAGTGTGTCTTTTCTTCTTGTTGTTGTTATTTTCATGCTTTGTCTCGCTTATTGGAGAATTTTTTGTCAAAGTCAAAATGAATTAAGTTTACAGACGTCAATATATATATATACACTCACAAACACATACAAACAAACAGAAAACTACATACACACAAACACACACAAAAAAGCATCCAAATAGACACACAAGGACACACACACACAAACAGACGCACATACATATACACACAAACACACACACACAAACACACAAATACACACACGTAACACAATGTCCGTCCCATGAGATTCGCTGGTCCAATATTATAGCTTCGTTCCTATTGGCTGAGAGAAAATAGTAGTCTTATTCTTATTGGTTCGTTTTTGATGTTGTTGTTGTTGTTTCTTGCTACTATTGTTATTGTTGATCGTTGTTATTATTATTTGTTGTTGTTGTTTGTTATTGATTCTTTGCTGCTGGCGACGTATATATATTTTTGTTTATGATGTGTTTGTATTGTTTATTTGTTGTCTATGTTGTTTGTTTATCGTCTATGTCCTATTTTGTTTTTTATTTTTTGATTATGTTGATGGTGAAATTTAAAAATGGGTTGTTTATAAAGTAGCTAAAGTAGTAGTAGTAGTAGTAGTAGTAGTAGTAGTAGTAGTTGTTGTTGTTGTAGTAGTAGTTGTTGATGTTGTTGTTGTTGTAGGAGCAGTAGTAGTAGTTGTTGTTGTTGCAGTTGTGGTATTAGTATCAGGTTTGTAGTAGTAGTAATAGTAAAAGTAGTTGCAGTAGCAGTAGCAGTAGTAGCAGTAGTAGTAGTAGTAGGTAATATTTCTGAAGATATTTAGTACCGTATTTATAGTTTTTGGTGTTGTTTATGATGACATTAATGTTATTGTTGTTTTTTTTTTACATCCGTCGTCATGTTTATGTAGTAGTAGTTTTATGTTTGTTTGTTCGTTTGGTTTGTTCGTTCGTTCGTTAGTTCGTTTGTTTATTTGCTTATTTGTTTTTGTTTACTATTTAAATTTTTTTTAGTATTTGTTGTCGTTGTCTGTGTTTACTAAATGACAAAACGACTGCAAAGAAATAATTAAACCGCCAACAACAACAACAACAACAACATAGATATGATAGCAACAACAATGACACTTATAATTATCCTTAATGTCATTATCTCTACAATTGCGAAAGCTAAAGTCATTATTCTATGCCTATTTATTCATCACACTTGTGACGTCATCTTCAACGTCGTCATCATCATACATACATACATACATACACTCATACGAAACGAAACAAAATGAAACAAAACGAAACGAAATTTTATTTGCTTCTCAAAATTGAAAATTAAAAGAAAGCATACATACATACACACACACACACACACACACATACATACATACAAACAAACATACATACAAATAAACAAACAAACAAACGCATCAAATATAATGTCATCAGCATCGACAATGACGTCATAGACAACATCATCATCATCTCATCATCATCATCATGACCGTCCACCTATTTTAGCCTTAGGTAACCTGATCACGAAGCAATTAGGACGATTGGTCGTTTTTATTTCTATATTTGTATGTTTGTTTGTTTGTATGTTTTTATATATGTATGTTTGTGTGTATGTATGTATGCATGTATGTGTGTTTGTTTGTGTGTGTGTGGGTGTGTGTTTATTTTAATTTGGTAATCTATCAGTTTGGTTTTTATTCATCAATATCATATATATGTTCATATTTTAATATAACTATTATTACATTTTGCTACTACTACTACTACTGCTGCTGCTGCTACTACTACTACTACTGCTGCTGCTGCTGCTACTACTACTACTGTTCTAGTACTACTTGCTGTATTTTTCATATTTTCATCGATTGGCACGAAACAGAAGAAATTTGTTTTCAAACGTCAAGCATGTTTTGTTTGTTTGTATGTAAGTATCTATGTATGTACGCATGTATGTATGTATGTATGTATGTATGTATGTATGTATGTATGTATGTATGTATGTATGTATGTATGTATGTATGTATGTATGTATGTATGTATGTATGTATGTATGTATGTATGTATGTATGTATGTATGTATGTATGTATGTATGTATGTATGTATGTATGTATGTATGTATGTATGTATGTATGTATGTATGTATGTATGTATGTATGTATGTATGTATGTATGTATGTATGTATGTATGTATGTATGTATGTATGTATGTATGTATGTATGTATGTACGCATGTATGTATGTATGTATGTATGTATGTATGTATGTATGTATGTATGTATGTACGTATGTATGTATGTATGTATGTATGTATGTATGTATGTATGTATGTATGTATGTATGTATGTATGTATGTTTGTATACGGCCACTTGGTATCTAGAGACCATGTTTAAAAGTAATTATACAAAATTCATTGTATGGCCTAATGGCTTTTAATTAGTTTTAAACATCATCAGCTAAATGTGCTTGCTTCATCCAAACATTGATACATTTGTGTAGATATTTATGGTATATATATATTATATGCTACCACTTTTATCACCTCTATCGCTACTATTACTGCTGCTACTGCTACTACTTCTGCTGCTGCTGTCGCCGCTACTACTACTACTTCTTTTACTGTTAGTACCACTTCTGCTACTTCTACTGCAACTGCTTGCAACAAATACTACTTATGACAGTTTTTTTCAATCAGGGTTCCGCGAGTCAATAAGAAACAATTTTTTTTTGTGAAAAATAAGTTATGGCAAAACCGACCAGAACCACACATCAAGCCTAACTGCTCACCGATTTATTAAAAAACAAAGGCTAGACGAAGCAGACGTTGTTTCCCTATCGAAAGAGCTGACGGGGCAGAAAATTGATGCTGTAGATTCTTGCCGTAAGATTCGTCAGTACGGCAACAATTATTTAGCTGTGGGATTCACTTGGACAGGAGAGCCAGACTGCCCATCGCCTCTTTGCATTGTTTGCTGGGGACAGCTTGCTAACTGTGCCACCGTGCCAGCTAAATTGAAACGACACTTAACTACATTTCATCCAGATCCAGAGAAGAATGATGTGATGCTACTTCGAGAGGGCACTAGCATAAATATGCCTTATGCTTATATTGTTACTGCAAATAAACAGCCGGTAATAATATTACTACTGCTGCTGCTGCTGCTTCCTCGAGTATGCCCTGATATCTATTTAATTTCATTTGATGTCTGAGTAATTGATTTTTACGATTAAACGATTGAATGAATGAATGAATGAATGAATGAATGAATGAATGAATGAATGAATCAATGAATCAATCAATCAATCAATCAATCAATCAATCAATCAATCAATCAATCAATCAATCAATTAATGAAAGAAAGATAGAAAACATGAATGAATAAAAAATGAAAAAAAAAGAATGGATGGATCAATGTTTGTTCGTTTGCTTCTTCGTTTATTTGTACATTTGTGAATGAATGGATGTATAAATGAATCAATGAATGAATGATTGAATGATTGAATGATTGAATAAATAAATCAATCAACAAATAAATGAATTACAAGTGATTAAAGAAACGATCGAACAAATTGAATTAATAGGAGTAATTAGAATAAAAAAATCATAAAAATTTATTGCCAAACCAAACCGAAAAGTCAAAATTTATATAATTCACACAATCAATTACACACACGCACCACACACATGTACACACACACACACACACACACACACACACACACACACACACGTATATACACATTCACACACTCACGCACACACACAAAAACCTATAAACACATTCACAAACACACACACACGTACATACACACACACACACACACACACGCAGGTTTCTTATGTACAGCAACACCATCTATAAAAGCCATATGCCCTAGCGAAGGCTGGACCAGTGGCGGATCGACGGTCATCATCATCGGCGATAATTTTTTTGACGGGCTGCAGGTTGTCTTTGGGAGCATGCTGGTCTGGAGCGAGGTCTGTTGGTCGGCCGTGGTCTCCAAATTATGAATTATAAGAAATATTATACTGGTGCTGTTATTATTATTATTATTATTATTATTATTATTATTATTATATTAGTTATTAGTATAATAACTATATTAAGACTGATTACATTTCTCGTTGTACGCATTTTATATCTATAATGGCGAGCATCGTAGACTTTCTCATTTTAATTCATTTTATTTTATTTTATTTCATTGAATATTTATTTCGCCCCTTTTTTTTAGAAAAAATAAAAGAGTTCCCATTATTATTATTATTATTATTGTTATTATTATTATTATAACGATTGTTATCGTTGTTTTTGTTGTTTATATATTTTGATAAAACAACAACAACGACGACGACGACGACGACAAACAGCTGATCACCTCCCACGCAATCCGGGTTCACACGCCCCCGCGGCACATCCCCGGGGTGGTCGAGGTCACTCTCTCCTACAAATCAAAACAGTTCTGCAAGGGCACGCCCGGAAGATTTGTATACACCGGTTGGTACTGATGATGATGACGACGGTGACGATGATGATGATGACGATGATGATGACGCTAATGATGACGATGACGAAGATAAAAGAGGATAGGTAGTATCATAAATGACAAATGAAATCATGAAGATCGCATTAACGTCACGTATTTCAGCCCTCAAACTTGAGACATTTTAACTTTAACCTCTTAATTTTGCGCGTATTTCAGCATTCAAACTTTAGACATTTTAGCTTTAACCTTCTAATTTTGATCTTCAAACCTTCAAATTTTGACCTTTAGGTCTTCTAACTTTGACCTCTTCACCTTCAAACTTTAACATTATAAATTTCTTCTTATTTTTTCTCACCACAGCCCTATCCGAACCAACAATAGACTACGGTTTCCAGAGGTTGATGAAGTTAGTTCCGAGACACCCTGGTGACCCAGAAAGATTACCAAAAGTATGTCATTGTGTGTATGTGCTAGCCTGTGTGTGTGTTGTGTGTGTGTTGTGTGTGTGTGTGTATGTGTGTGTGTTGTGTGTGTGTGTGTGTGTACGTACGTATGTATCTGAAAAGAAATGTTTATTAATGAACATACGCATACATTATTGCATAGTTTGATGACATTTCGTTAGTCTGTCGGTTTTACTTTCACTGTACGAATGTTATCGAAATTTGTATGTCAACATACAGCATCATCAACAACAACATCAACAACAACATCAATTACAACGTCAACAACAACATCAACATCAATTACAACATCAACAACAACATCAACAACAACATCAACAACAACAACAACGTCAACATCAACAACAACAACAGCAACGATAATACGTATAGAGCGGGCGACAAAAACATTATAACAACACCCTTGAGATCCGCTAAGATGTACGCTTTTCTAACACGCTTTTGTAGAGGCAACTACGTGCACAACACATACACATACATACAAATATACAGACATGCACACATACATACATACATTCAAACATACATACATGCCTGGCCTACATACATACATACATACATGCCTGGCCTACATACATACATACATACATACATACATACATACATACATACATACATACATACATACATACACACACACACACACACACACACACACACACACACACACACACACACACACATACACATACATACATATATACATACATACATACATACATACATACATACACACACACACACACACACATACATACATACATACATACATACATACATGCACACATACATATATACATACATACATACATACATACATGCCTGGCCTTCATACATACATAAACGTTAACAATAAGTGACTTTTTTGTACTACACAGATGCTAACGCATACAATCATGTTTTCATCTTTTAATATGTATGTATGTATGTATGCATGTTTGTATGTATGTATCTATGCATGTAGGTATGTACGTATGTATTATACATATTCGTTTTGTCGCTTTGTTTTTTTAACTTTTATCTTTTTCTCACTTTTGCTTTCTCTCTCTTCCTCTCTCTCTTTCTTTCTCTCTCTTCTCATTCTCTCTCTCTTTCTCTCTCTCTTCCTCTCTCTCATTCACTCTCTCTCTCTTTTTCTTATTTCTTCATTTCATCAATATCTCAAAAAATTGAAACCAGGAAATCGTGCTAAAAAGAGCGGCTGACTTGGCGGAAGCACTGTACAGCATGCCCCGTAGCAGTAGCCACAACCACCACAGCAGCCAGCCACACAATCACCAACAGCAGCCACTTCAAATCGCGTCAGCCAGATCGCCAACGTCGTCGTCGTTAACGAATGGTTTGTATGTGTGTGTGTGTGTGTGTGTGTGTTTGTGTGTGTGTGTATGCTTGTTTGTGTGTGTGTATGCTTGTTTGTGTGTATGTGTGTGTATGCTTGTTTGTGTGTGTGTGCATGCTTGTTTGTGTGTTTGTTTGTATGTGCGTATGTGTGGGTACATGCGTGTCATTTTATTCAACATCAGTTAATCCGATCTCTGATATTTTCTAATACTTTTCAACCATTCGTTCATTCATAATTCATCTATGTATTTATTTAATAATTCATTTGTTCATTCACTGATTTATTGTTCGTTTGTTCATTTAATTAATTGACTAATTAATTAATTAATTATTAGTTTATCATTTTTATTAATCCGTCCCTTCAATGTTTTTTGCGAAGGAGTCCTAAACTCAAGTATGCAGTTCAACTCGTCAACATCATCAACTCCTGGGTCATCTTACTCGGTCAGCCAACTACACCACTCCATGCTGGTTGACGTGGGGGACCTCAGAGGGGGAGGCAATGGGGGGGCCCTCGTGGCAGGGGGGGCCCAGTGGGTGGACGAGCCCTGGACCAGTAACGCGCATCACCATCGCTATCCGGCCTTTAGTTTTTAGGATTTCAATTTTTTTGTAATCATTTTTTTGTTGGCGTTCATCTTTTTTTATTATTATTATTGTTGTTATTGTTATAATTTTAATTATTGTTATGGTTATGATTTTGTCATTATTTTCCATTTTGTTTTTGTTTTTCAATCGCTCCCATCTCATAAAAGTTTCTAGTCAACAAGGAGTTTTTTCTTCTAATTTTATAATTTTTTTCAATGAACTAATTAGCAATTTGATTAAAAAATTAAAAATATAATTAATTAATTAACAAATTAATTAATTAATTAATTAATTAGCAATTTAAAAATTTATTAATTTTTTTCCAGTTTTATTTCGTTTTTTTTTAATCTACGAACCGCAATACAACACAAACGCACCAATAAACATTGAATGAATGAATGAATGAATGAATGAATGAATGAATGAATGAATGAAAGAATGAACGAACGAATGAATGAAGGAATGAAATGAATGAAGGAATGAAAAAATTAACTAAATGAGTAAATGAACAGAATTTTTGACTTTATTATATTTCATAAAATAAATTTTTTATCAGCCAGCCAACAATTCAATGACTCAATATTTGTTAAAAATATTCATTTATTTTTTTGAAATAATTTTGAAAAACACAAAAACGAAATGTCATTTCAAAAGGACATCTAGAGATTGATATAAAAAAAATCTAACACACACACACACACTCATCACACACACACGCACACACACGTACACACACACGCACAGCTATACATAAATTGTAAATTATCTGATTCACAACAAACTAATCTCTTTTTAATCACGAGCAAATATTGTATTCTCATATTTAGATATTTTCTACATTATTTATATGTAATTCTTATCTAGAGGAACCCATACAACATGGAAAAAGACAATCGTCTCTACATTGAATTGAAGGAAGAATTGAATCATAAAAATCTGACCTAGCGGTTTCTATGTCTATATCCAAATTGGTATTGTAATATACGGAAAAGTCTAAATCAACAAAATTTTGACCCATTCTGGGTGTTCA